TTTGAATTTATTGATTTTTCTGGAGGCAAGCTCTATTTTTTTTTTTTTAGTGCAGTTATAGTTCTAGTCGCTTCCAGTGAGGGTAATGGATAGTCTTCTCTTCACCCCCCCCATCACATTTATCATTCCCAGATCCATGCTACCATTTAGGTCATTGCATATCAAGTTATACAAAGTGTGCTGAAAGAACACAGACGATTAGTCAGTATCTTTAATGCTGGGATGTCTACCATGACTTAGGACTATCAGTGCTCCCCTACTGACATATAAACAGCAGGAGCATCATCCAGAAGTTGTTTTCCCATCAGCATTGCTCCTAAAAAAACAAAACCCATTCTCTGCAAAGAGCTGACAATTTCAGTCTGTGGTTTATAGACGGGTTGTTTATGGAACAAAGATTATCCCTGCTATTACATCTGTGGGTTTTTTCAGGTAGTAGTGCTGTGGTTTTATTGAGACACTTCTGTTTTGTGAAGCTATTTGGAGCCAGGGTTTGCTGTTGATGGTAGTGGTAGATCTGCCTGTCATTGACGCTGAGCCACTTGTTTTGCTAATTGAATGTAATTAGGGTTGTTTGATTTATTGGATTGATTTCAAATGATAATAAGTTTCCATGTACTTGAGAAGAAAATATTTGGCCATGATTTGGGATTCACAATCTTTCTATTTGCAAGTCAATTTCAGATTGTAATACAGGACAATTGCATTGCAAGCGCATTTGTTGTCATGAAGCTAACACTTAACTTCATATTTAAGGTGCAGAGAGCAACAAAAATGAGAATAATAAGTCTTCCAAAATGTCAAACTATTCCTTTGAGCAAGACTGTGTTTGTGCAAATCTCTGAAGAATTTGGTAAAGATGTGAATGAGCAATGCTCCCCCTCAGTGAATAGCTGCCACTGATCTTTGAGATGGCCTGGATGAAGGAACTTAGCACCCAGCCCCGAGTTTATAGAGGAGAGCTTCAGTAGCAGCTGTGTTTGTTGTAAACTTGTTTAAGATAATTCATTTAAATTTGCTTAATGGCAAACATCATCTCCTGTTGATAGTTTGATGCTGGGGCATCATAGTGGGCAGCTTAATTAAAGGCCTCCTTTTTGGGCTTTTTCTAGGCAACACACTGTCAGCTTGTCCCCACTCTGTCCTCTTCTACACCGTGTTATTAATGAAACAAGCAGGACTGAACAATGAGGTCCCCAGTGGTGCATTGTGCTTCCAAAGGTTGCCTTCAGCAATGCACCACACCTCTGGAAACCCCAGGGATACCTTGTGAGAGTTTCCCCTACTCAGTTATAACTTCCTGCAGCCTTTTTTATTTATTGGACTAATTAAGCTAGAACAAAAATATCCTAAAGTAAAGTGTGGTTTTTAAGCACATAGTTGCTACTTATGCTTGTGGTGACCCCTGGGAGTTTCCTAAATCAAGCATGTTGAATTTTGCTCAAAGCAACTCCCCTCAGACTCATATGAAAGAATTATAGGAGTGCAAATATGTGTCTAGTTGTCTCTCTTTAAGTACCTTGTTTAATTTGTGTCCTTAATTGTTTTCCTTGAGGCATTACAAATGATTCTTTTCATGTTTTTTTTAATTGTTGTTTGATCTGTGTCAAAGTTTCCTTTTCATTTTCTAATGTGTCTTTAATAGGAGACCCTGTTAAATGTCATCTAATAACCATCTATTATCACAGGGTATAAACATTCAGTATTGGGGAGTAACGGAATACATGTACTGCCGTTACGTATTTAAAATACAAAATATGAGTAACTGTATTCCGTTACAGTTACCGTTT